CACAAGAGAGTCTGAAATGCAGTACTTGGATGCAGTCTCAAAACGACAGAAGGATTTCTGTTCATGTCCAAGGCAAACCATTCAATATCACAGTAATCCAAGGCTATGCCCTGACCAGTACTGCTGAAGAAGCTGAAGTTGAACAGTTCTATGAAGACCTGCAAGACTGAAATGCAAAAGAGTGAAGTCAAGAAACACCTGGAGTAACAGGCAAATTGGGCCTTGGAGTACAAAATGAAGTAAGGCAAAGGCTAATAGAGTTCTGCCAAGTGAATACACTGGTAAAAGTAAACACCCTCTTTGGAAAAAAGTGTACTTAAAACTCAACAGTCAGAAAACTAAGGTCGTGGCATCTAGTGTCATCATTTCATGGCGAATAGATGGGAAAACAATGGAAACAGTGACAGAATTTATTGAGGGGGGAGGGGGGCGGTGGGACGGTTCCACCAGGCTTTGGCAATACGTGAACAGTGAACTTCCAGATGTTCAAGCTGGTTTTAGAAAACACAGAGGAATCAGAGATCAAATTGCCAACATCTGCTAGATCATTGAAAAGGCAAGAGAGTTCCAGAAAAACATCTGTTTCTGTTTTATTGACTATGCCAAAGCATTTGACTGTATGGATCGCAATAAACTATGGAAACCTCTAAAAGAGATGGGAATGCCAGGCCACCTGACGTTCCTCCTGAAAAACCTGTATGCAGGTCAGGAAGCAACAGTTAGAACTGGACATAGAGTAACAGACTGGTTCCAAACATGAAATAGAGTCTGTAAAGGCTGTATATTATCACCCTGCTCATTTAACTTATATGCAGAATACATCATGAGAAACCCCAGGCTGGAGGAAGCACAAGCTGGAATCAAGATTGCCAGGAGCAATAACAATAACCTCAGATACGCAGATGACACCACCCTTATGGCAGAAAGTGAAGTAGAGCTAAAGAGCCTCTTCATGAAAGTGAAAGAGGAGAGTGAAAAAGTTGGCTTAAAATGAAACTTTCAGAAAACCATGATCATGGCATCTGGTCCCATCACTTCATGGCAAATAGCTGGGGAGCATTGGAAGCAGTGACAGACTATTTTTGGGGCTCCAAAATCACTACAGATGGTGACTGCAGCCATGAAATTAAAAGATGCTTACTATTTGGGAAAAAAAAAAAAAAAAAAAACCACAACGATGCCACACCCAGACAGCATATTAAAAAGCAGTGAGATTACTTTGCCAACAAAGGTCCATCTAGTCAAAGCTATGGCTTTTCCGGTAGTCATGTATGGATGTGAGAGTTGGACTATAAAGAAAGCTGAGCGCCAAAGAATGGATGCTTTTGAAGTGTGGTGTTGGAGAAGACTCTTGAGAGCCCCTTGGACTGCAAGGAGATCCAAACAGTCCATCCTACAGGAGATCAGCCCTGGATGTTCATTGGAAGGACTGATGATGAAGCTGAAACTCCAATACTTTGGCCACCTGATGTGAAGAGCTGACTCATTTGAAAAGACCCTGACGCTGGCAAAAACTGAGGGCAGGAGGAGAAGGGGATGACAGATTATGAGATGGTTGGATGGCATCACCGACTCGATGGACATGGGTTTGTGTAAACTCAGGGAGTGGGTGATAGACAGGGAGACCTGGTGCGCTGCGGTTCATGGGGTCGCAAAGAGTCAGACACGACTGAGCAACTGAACTGAACTGAAATGAAAACCACTGCAGATGGGGGCTGCAGTCATGAAATTAAAATAGGCTTGCTCCTTGGAAGAAAAGTTATGACTAACCTAGACAGCATATTAAAAAGCACAGACATTATTTGTCGACAAAGATCTGTCTAGTGAAAACTATGATTTTTCCAGTAGTCATGTATAGATGTGAAAGTTGGACTATAAAGAATGCTGAGTGCTGAAGAACTGATGCTTTTGATCTGTGGTGTTGGAGAAGTCTTGAGAATCCCTTGGACTCCAAGGAGATCCAACCAGTCCATGCTAAAGGAAATCAGTCCTGAATATTCATTGGAAGGACTGATGCTAGAGCTGAAACTCCAATACTTTGGCCACCTGATGCGAAGAGCTGACTTATTTGAACAGACCCTGATGCTGGGACAGATTGAAGGCGGGAGGAGAAGGGGACCACAGAGGATGAGATGGTGAGATGGCATCACCGACTCAATGGACATGGGTTTGGGTCGACTCCAGGAGTTGGTAATGGGCAGGGAGGCCTGGAAAGCTGTAGTCCACGGGGTCACAGAGAGTCAGACAGGACTGAGCAACTGAACTGAACCAAATCACTCTTATTAACAGTCTGCTTCCTATCAATTGGGAGCATTAGACCCCTGATTCCAATATGACCAATGAATACATTTACTCTCAAATATTTTCTATCCCTAACATGAAGCCCTATGCATATGACACATATCCTCATCCATCCTATTATCAAGCACTCTTCCACAAGCATAAGAAATGTGTCTGACTAGAGTTACTTTGAGAGAGTAAATAATAGAGATTTCAATCCTCTTATATCTAGAATTATAGGAATTGAACATACCCCTAAGAATTCAAAGTTCTTTGTGCTACCAAATTACACCACATTCTATAAGTAACATCAGCTAATTAAACTATTAGGCCGGTACCCCAAAAATGTTCATTTATACCCTTTCTGTACTAAAAAGTCCCATCATCTTTATCGTTATCCTATCAACTATTTTCTCAGGATTTATTGTCATTATAATTATCTCCATTGATTACTTATCTGATTTGGCTTTGAAATAAATATATTAGGCATGATCCCCATCATAATAAATAATTCAACCCAGGAGCAACAGAAGCATCAACTAAATACTTGACACAACCCACCACATCAATATTACTCATGGTAACTGTCATTATTTATTATTCTCAGGCCAATGGACTGTCACAAAATGATTTAATCCAACAGCATCCATATTAATAACAATAGCCTTATGAATAAAACTGGGAATATCTGCATTTCACATTGGAGTACCAGAAGGTATACAAGACATTTTACTAACATCTGGCTTAACCCGATGAACATGACAAAAACTTGCACCCATGTCTGTGCTATACCAAACTTCACCATCAATTAATTGAATAGTGTACTGTGTGCTGTGCGGAGTCGCTCAGTCGTGTCTGACTCTTTTTGACCCCAGGGACTGTATCCCACCAGGCTCTTCTGCTATGGGCATTCTCCAGGCAAGAATACTGGAGTTGGTTGCCATGCTCTCCTCCAGGGGATCTTCCCAAGCCAGGGATCAAACCCAGCTCTTCCACATTGCAGGCAGATTCTCTATCACTTGAGCCACTAGGAAAGCCCCAGTTAATACAAGCTATATCCACATTATCCACTATAATTGGAGGCTGAGAATGGTGAAATCAGATGCAGTATGAAAAATCACAGCCTAGTCATCAATGGCCCACATAGGATGTATAACTGCCATCCTATTATGTAATCCCACTGTGACAGACCTAAACCTGGTTGCTGCTGCTAAGTTGCTTCAGTCGTGTTCAACTCTACAATCCCATAGACGGCAGCCCACCAGGCTCTGCCATCTCTGGGATTCTCCAGGCAAGAACACTGGAGTGGGTTGCCATTTCCTTCTCCAATGCATGAAAGTGAAAAGTGAAAGTTAAGTCACTCCGTCGTGTCTGATTCTTCGAGACCTCATGGACCACAGCCTACCAGGCTCCTCCATTCATGGGAGTTTCCAGGCAAGAGTACTGGAGTGGGTTGCCATTGCCTTCTCCACTAAACCTGGTTATATTATCTTAACTTCCACTATATTCAGAATGTCCATAACCAACTCCACCACCACCACATTATCACTATCACATACATGCAACAAAATACCTATCATAACAACCCTTATCCTCATCATTCTGTTATCAATAGGAGGCCTTCCACCACTATTAGGATTCAGACCCAAGTGAATAATTATTGAAAAAATAACAACAACCAAAAAGAGCATCGTTTTACCAACAGTAATAGCAATCATGGCACTACTGTACTTCAACATATGACTCACACACTCCACAGCACTCACCTTATTCCTCTCCGCAAATAACAGAGAAAACATGATGATGCTACACTATGAAACAAATGACACTCCTATCTGCAATAAGTGCAATAGCCACAACATTTCTACCCATAACACCTATTGTCTCAATGCTGGAATAGGAATTTAGGTTAAATAGACCAAGAGCCTTATGAAACAAATGACACGCCCATCCACAATAACTGCAATAGCCACAACATTTCTACCCATAACACCTATTGTCTCAGTGCTGGCATAGGAATTTAGGTTAAATAGACCAAGAGCCTTCAATGCCCTGTGTGCTGTGTGCTTAGTCGCTCAGTCATGTCCGACTCTTTGCGATCCCATAAACAGTAGCCCACCAGGCTCCTCTGTCCATGGGATTCTACAGTCAAGAATCCGGGAGTGGATTGCCATTCCCTTCTCCAGAGGATCTTCCCGACGCATGGATGAACCCAGGTCTCCTGCATTGCAAGCAGATTCTTTATTGTATGAACTACCATAAAATTCCTGTACTACAGGTGTGTTCGTTATACTTCAAAGCCCTGAGCAAGTATAATTTACTGAATTCCTGTTCATAAGGTTTGCAAGATTAGATCTTACATCAATTGAATGAAAACCAGCCACTTCAAGCTAAACCCTCTCTAGATTGGTGGGCTATAACTCCATGAACATTTAGTTAAGAGCTAAATACTCTGGTCAACTGACCTCAACCTACTTGTACTGCAAAAGGAAAATAGAAAAAAAAAAAAAAAGCGGTATAATTCCCAGCAAATTGAACCAGCTTCTTTGAATTTGCAATTCAACGTGAAATATTCATCACAGGATTTAGTAAAAAGAAAAAGTGGATTAAACCCCTGTCTTTAGATTTACAGTCTAAAGCTTACTCAGCCATTCTGCCTATGTTCATTAACTGCCTATTATTTTCAACTAACCGTCAATATATTGGTACTATATACTTACTGTTTGGTGCTTGAGCTGGGAAGGCACTGTTGCAGTGAAAGGGAGAAAGGAGCAATGAGTTTTTCTTCTTTCTTTTCTGACAACAAAGAAGATAAAGAGAAGAGTGAGCAGGCCTGAACATTCCTAACTTTTCTTTTTCCTGTAACTGCTCCTAACGCCGAATGTCTGTGACTAGGTTTGCTTTCCTGTCCCTTAACTCTGCAGAAGCTACACTTGGCACCTATTTTCCTTTGACTCTGTGCTAAACATATCCCCTATCTGCAGTTTACCCTTAGAACACTCTTCCCCTTGAACTCACGTATCAGAAAGAAGGCCACAGAGTCACCGAATGCCAGACTCAATTACTGGGTTATTGACGTCAGTCTCCTACTGTCTTTGAAACAATGCAAAAGGAAGAAATCAAGATCCTATTCCCTTTGCTCCTCATCACTGATTCCTGACTGTGAGCTCTTGCCTTCTATAAGCCCCTAGATTTCTCATGGGGGGCAGGGTTCAGCTCTCGAGGCAGAAGCTTACTGCGTTTCTCCTCTCTGCCAGCTAAGAATAAAAGCCACCTTTCAATTTCCTCCAAACCCGGTTTCCATATTTTTCGTTCAGCGTCAGTGGGCAAAAAAGGCCAAGATTTTGGCTGGCAACCGTAGGCACAGCCCCAACGTGGTTAATCTGTGCTGGGTTGGGCCAACCTGGAACTCGACTTGGAGATGACCAAATTTATAATGTAATTGTAACAGCTCATGCATTTGTACTAATTTTCATTCTAGTACTCCCTAGTATGATTGGAGGCTTTGGTAACTGATTAGTTTCCCTAATAATTGGAGCTAATGACATAGTTTTCCCTGAATAAATAAGCTTCTGACTTCTCCCTCCCTCTTTTCCTCTTGCTGCTTGCATCACCAATAGTTGAAGCAGGCACTGGCACAGGCTGAGCTGTCTACACCTTTAGCCAGAAATCTAGCTCATGCTGGAGCTTAAGTAGACTTTACTATTTTTTCTCTACACTTAGGTGTTATCAATTTTATTACTTCAACTATTAATATAAACCCCTGCCATATCCAAATATCAAACAACACTGTTATTCATGTGATTAGCCCTAATCACAGACATATTACTATCACTACCTGTATTGGCAGCTGGTATTTTTACTATGCTATTAACAGATTGAAATCTAAATTCCGCTTTCCTTGATCCTGAAGGAGGAGAGGACTCAATACTGTATCAACATTGACCTGATTTTTCCAACACTCTGAAATATATATTTTGATTTTGCCAGGATTTAGGATGATTTCACATGTTGTAACCTATTACTTAGGGGAAAAGAAACTTTCAGGTGTGTGGGAATGGTCTGAGCTATAGTGTCAACTGGATTCTTAGGATTTATTGTATGAGAACATTGTATATTCACAGTAAGGACATATGTTGACACACAAGCCTATTTCACATCACCCACTATAATTATCACCAGCCCAACAAGAGTACAAATGTTCAGTTGATTAGCAATGCCTCATGACAGTAACATTAAATGACCCCCAGCTATAATGTGAGTCCTAGGTCTTATATTTCTTTTCACAGTCAGAGGGTTGACAGGAAATTTCCTGGCTAATTCATCTTCAGATATTTTCTTCATGATATACACTATGTAGTTACATAGTTGCATTATGTACTTTCAGTGGGAGATTTGCTATTATAGGGGGCTTTCTGCACTGAATCTCATTATTCTCAGGCTATACTCAACTTGACATGAGCAAAAATTCCCTTCACAAATGTGTTTGTAGATGTTAACATAACCTTTCTCAAAAACACTTTCTAGGCCTGTTTGGAATACCACAACACTATCCTGACTACCCAGATGCATACACAGTATGAAATACTATTTCATCTATAGGCCCATTCATTTCTTTAACCACAGTAATACCAATAATTCCTATTACCTGAGAAGCATTTGCATCAAGACGAGGTCTTAACAGTAGACCAACCATATCACACACTCAAAGAACCTATGCACATCATTTTAAAATAAATTAGGAAGGAATCGAACCCCCAGCTACTGATTTCAAGCCAAAATCATAACCATGATTTCTTTCTCTATTTAGGAGATATTAGTAAAATATTGCATCACTTTGTTGAAGTTAAGCTATAGGTGAAAAATCTGTATATATCAATGGCATATCCTCTACAACTAGACTTTCAAGATGCAACACCAGCCATCATAGAAGAATTCTTACACTTCATGATAACACATTAGTAATTGTTTTCTTAATCAGCTCACTAGTAGTTTATATTATCTCACTTATTCTGAAAACAAAACTCACACACACTCGCACTATAGACACACAAGAAGTAGACTATCCAAACAATCTTACCAGTTATTTTCATCTTAATTGCCTCTCTATCCCTATAAACTTTATACATAAGAGACAAAATTATCACTCCATGCCTTATGGTATAAACTATCAGTAACCAAAGATATTGAAGCTATGAATATACAGTTTATGAAGACTTGAATTTTTACTCCTATATAATTCCAACATCAGAGTTAAAGCCAGGGTATTTGGAAGTAGATGATTGGGATGTTTTACCTATAGCGATAGTTAAACAAATGTTAATTTCCGCAGAAGATGTGCGACACTCATGAGCTGCGCCTTCTCTAGTATGAAAATCAGATGCGTTTCCAGGGCACCTATATCAAACAATTTTTCTAACACTAATTCAGTTCAGTTCAGTCAGTCAGTCATTTCTGACTCGTTGCGACCCCATGAACCGCAGCACACCACGCCTCCCAGTCCATCACCAACTCCCGGAGTCCACCCAAACCCATGTCCATCAAGTTGGTGATGCCATTCAACCATCTCATCCTCTGTCATCCCCTTATCCTCCTGCCCCCAATCCCTCCCAGCATCAGGGTCTTTTCCAATGAGTCAACTCTTCACTTTGGCCTGAGGTGGCCAAAGTATTGGAGTTTCAGCTTCAGCATCAGTCTTTCCAATGAACACCCAGGACTGATATCCTTGAGGATGGACTGGCTGGATCTCCTTGCAGTTCAAGGGACTCTCAAGAGCCTTCTCCAACACCACAGTTCAAAAGTATCAATTAGGCCAATAAACTGGATATAATCTGATAACATGAATAAGATAGTAACACAGCTTAACTCATAAAAAATAAAAATCCATGAGTCCATAATGATAGAAATAGTGAATGAATAAAGAAGACAAAGCTCTTCTTCACATTGGAATGTAGCTAATACATACAGATGGTATTATTGATATAAAGTTGGAAAATTAGTAGATGCCCAAAGTGGTAAGTGCTATGATAAGGAAAAGAGTATTTGCATAATATCAAAATAACTTCTCTTAAGATATTTATTAATTTCAATGGGAAAATTGTACCTGTATTGTGAAATACTTAGTGGACACCACTTGAGCCCACTTACCAAGTTTAATATCATCAAAAATGTGGTAAAGTAACATCGCGTGCTACCTGGTAACATACGCTAAGATCTGTGGTATAATTTAAAAACATGTTTGGTCTGGCATTAGATCTCTTCAAACCCTTGGAATTACCTGGTAGTCTTTTTAGATTCATAACAAGACCCTGCCAAGCATACCTGAGCTCATGCTAATGTAAAGCCTCACGGGTGAGAAGGTTTCAAATAGCTTCAGGACTGGGTCTGGGTGCCAGGAAAACCACCTGAGTGATTAGAGGGTCAGAACATTCAGCCCTGCCACTGGTTAAGGAAGAGGGGCCTGGAGACTGAGTCCAGTCACCAATGGTCAATGATTTAATCAACCATCCCTACATAATGAAAAAAAAAATCAGATTGAGGGAACTTTTGGGTAAAGGTGATCTATGTGCTGGATGGTGTTGCCATAGAGGGTGGGCAAGGAAGTTTTGTGTCCCCCACCTCTCACTCCTTGCCCTATGTATCTCCTCTATTAGGCTATTTCTAAATGTTATCCTCTATAAACATACAGCTATAATCTTACATATGGCGCTTTCCTGAGTCCTGAGTCATTCCAGCAAATCACTAAACCCAAATGGGGAGCCCCTGCGTCTGCGGTCAGCCCAAAACTAGTGTGGCTAGCCTGGGGGTCCTACTCATGGCTGGCAACTTAAGTGGGGACAACACTGTACGACAGGGCCCCTAACCCATGGGATATGGACTCACTCCAGGCAACTCGTGTCAGGAGTGAGCTGGACTGTAGGACACCCCAGCTGGTGTAGAGGTGAAGAACTGACTGTCGGCTGTAAAGCCAAACGAGGTTGAAAGAACATTTGTGGTATTCCTGCCAAAAGCGCCTAAATTGAATCTATTCAAGAAAAACATTCTGCAAGACAACTGGCCTGTCTCATTCCAAAAGACATGTCAAGAAAGATAGAGCAGCACTGAGAGACTACTCCAGATTTAATGGAAACTAACAAGATAGGACAAATACGTGCAATATGTAACCCTGAGTTAGAGCCTTGAACAGAGGGCGAAAAAAATCACTGCAAAGGACATTCATGGGACAACTGTCCAAATTTGACTATGGAATGTTAGCTAAGAGCTTTGTATCACAACACTTCCAGATTTTGATAAAAGTATGACAATTGTGTAAGACTATATTCTTGTTAGACAATATATATAGTAATTGCTTCTCAGCCTTTTAGCTAAGATCAAGTGCAATATCTGTTCTTATCAGAATATACATATAGTAAAAATGTCTCCGAATGGCTCAGGAAAAAATAATATGCATGCATTACTTACATGCATTACACACAGAAAAAGAAAGTAATAACGCAGATGGGGCAAAATAGAAACAATTAGAGAATCTGGGTAGAGGGTATACCCAAGTTTCTGATACTGGTCTTGCAACTTTTCTATAAGCTTGAAATCATATAAAGATAAAGATAAAAGAAAACAAAAAAGGAAATAACCAACTGGATTTGCCAAATTATATGCTGGTCTTCTTCCACAAAGTGGAATATCTAAAGATTATTAGAGCATTTAACAATGATACAGCAGTTCCCAAACTTTGTTCCCTAGGACACAATTACAACACGACAAATGCATCAAAATTGGTAATTTATTAAAATTAGGACAGCAGCTATTGGTATTTCTTTCTTCTGAAATTCATTTTGGAAATAATTTTATTTATCAGAAATTCACTTGAGTAGTGCCTGAGACCTGCAGGATGAGAGATGGTGAAGACATATTTATCTGAAGAAGGACTGAAAAGGAGGGAATAAGGTTGGGGTGGGAAGAGCTGCAGCTCGAGGGAAAGACCACATGAGTGGCGATGTGATCCTTCCCTATGAACCCTCCAATTTCTCTCCCTAAAAATCATGGTGTCCATGGAGAGGCTGCCCCATGGAAGCAAGAGATGCGTCTAAGTTTTGCATTCCTGTTGACTTAGGAAATAAGAGGGTTATTCAGACAACATAAATCCTTTGACACAGGAAATCTTGGGAGGCATAAGGCTTCCACCAGACATAGAACCAGGGCTTCAAGGCAATCTGCGATAGTTAATTTTACGTGTCAACTTGACTAGGCTAAGGGACGCCCAAACGGCTGATAATGCGTTATTTCTAGGTGTGTCTGTGAGGATGTCTCCAGAGGAGATGAACATCTGAATCAGTGGAATGAACAAAGAAGATCTTTATCAATGCCAGTGGGCATCATCTAATCCCTTGAGTTAGGCAGAGGAAAGAAGGACGAATTTGCTGTTTGAACTAAGATATCCATATTCGCTTGCCCGTGTACAGTCCACCAGAGCTTCTGGCTCTGAAGCTTTTGATTCAGACACAGACCAGAGTTACACCAGTGGCCCCCCTGATTCTCAGGCCTGCAGACTCTGAGTTATACCATCAACCACACTAATCCTGGTTCTCCAGCTTGCAGATGGAAGCTAGACTGTGGAACTTCTAAGCCTCCATACCCAAGTGAGCTTATTCCTACAATAAATCACTTCCTATTTATCTCTATATATCCTACTGGTTCTGTTTCTCTGAAGAACACTGAATGATACACAATCTGATCTAAATACTGGATGATGTCTAGTTCTTCAAGTATTAGGAAAATTCCAACACATTTATATAGGTTGTTCTGATTATGGGGTCAATATCTTATTATGCATAAATGCTGTGCCACATTCAAGAAAGTTGCATGAGAGATGGCCTGATAGAGGAGATGATGTGTTGATTGAACATCACTGACATTTGTGGCATAACTGAAACTCACTGGTCTAAGCTGTGGATCATGTCATGTTTTAAATATGTGAACATATTATTTTATCAGCAATAAAACAGTTGAATTCCCAACTGTATACCATTGTGTTACAAAGTTTTAAAACGGGAATCAAATGTTGACCATTTCTTAAAATTAGTTTATCTAAGAGACTGTTTTATTCTCAGCTTCAGTCTGAACACTGTTTTATTTCATGGCCACCGCTTGGTTTTCTACTGCAACACCACCACGTCTAAGTGTCCTGTGGTCATGTAAGCTGAAGAAATATTGCTATACAGTGTCATTTTTACAGATTACATATCTAAGGAATGTATAGGGCTAAGAAAACACAGAATACGCTTTCACATTTTGACTATTTCCACAGAAGGCTAAGAGACAGTATTCTGTCCACTACTAATTATGAGCAGGCTGAGTAAGGAACCGCAGGCGTGCTCAGGTGCGCCAACTCTTCGCGACCCCATGGACTAGAACATCCGGCTCCTCTGTCCATGGACTCTCCCAGGCAAGAATACTGGAGTGGGTTGCCATGCCCTTCTCGGGGATCTTCCTGACCCAGGGATTGAACCCACGCCTCCTGAATTGGTAGGCAGGTTCCTTGCCACTGAGCCTCCAGGGAAGCCAAGTAATGAATTATCCACTAGCCAACTGATTTTCACTGTTAAGATCAATGTAAATTACATCACAATCAATCCCACAACTTCTAATGAAATTCTGTGCCAGGAAGAACTTCTGCAAGGCCACTATAAATGCAGATCGAGGGTGTCAAGGGTGGAGTAGCAACATGAGAAATCCAGCAGGCTAAGGGGCTTCACCCTGCCGGCCTATTTTAGATAAGAATTAAACCACTGCTCACTGCAGAACAAAAATTACACCATATTATTGGGTTGGTCAAAAAGCTCTTTCAGACTTCTTGTGACATCTTATGAAAAACTCAAACAAACTTTTTGGGTAACCCAAAAACTCTAAAGATGGTAAAGAAAATATATAAAATTGATATATAGGTGACGAAATCCTCAGTGCTTGTGAAGTTTAGGACAATGCAGACAAATGAAGGCTTTCTCAGCAAAACTGAAGCATATTTATGGTCCTAATCTACCAGTGTCACCTAAGATGGGAGGGGGATTCTGCAAATTTGGCAGCAATCCTTCAGCTGTGCCCTTAATACCCCTCTTGGAGTCTGCTACGGTGTGACGTTATTTACAGGGCTCAAAGAGGTCATGGAGACAGCTCCGTGAAGAACCAAAATTGAAAACACTGCTGGTGTAGAGTGGATTCCGAGAGCTATCTCAGGACTTAACGTACGTGAACTATCACATATCTCCCCAGATCCTTACCCTCAGAATTCCTCAACAGTCACCATGATTTACTGACCAACTTCAAAACCTGAGGCATCTCCAACGTCTCTTCTCACTTCCATCTCCTGCGAGCTTCCAAGTCTGGTGGATTCAACTGCTTCTCTAATCCATTTCCTCCTTTTGATCTTGAAGGCCAGTGCCCTGCTTTAGGTCCTTACTTCCTCAGCCTATTAAAATAGCCTCTCCTACCAGTTTCCAGTATTTTTCCATCTAATTTACTATAATGACCACCATAATATTCATCCTTCTAAAGCACAGTCTGAATCACACCAGTCCCCCTTTCAAACCATCTTCAATTATTCCTCATGGCTCTGAATCAAATACATACTCCTCAGCTGGGCATTCAAGACCTCAGTGATCTCCAGTAGCTCCTCAAAAATCTACACTATTCCCCACATATATCCACATAAGCAACACATGGTCCAACTTCCGTTTCTTCCTCAAATTTCTCTTTGCATCTGGCTCTCACCACGCACACAACTCAATCTATTCAAATCTTACCCATCCTCCAGGGTCTGTATCAATCATTGTTTCCTCAGAGAAACCTCTCTCCATCTCCCCAGTTACATGTGGCCTTCTACTTCCCTGAACCTAACACAATTTTCCTGGCTCTATTATGACCTGCTTTCTACTCTACTTATTTATCTCCCCTACCACAATCTTCTCTTAATCAATACTTATTAGGACTTAGCTCTGTGCCAGGCACTGTACTAGACATCAGGAGTACAGGGCTGAGCAAAACATCTATGACCTCTCAAATTGCACAGGGGAACCTCACCTTCTCTGTGTTACTATGGAACCTACACAGTGTACCACATGATAAGTAGCAAGAACAACTGTTCTATCAAGGTGTTACAACGTGATTCATAAACATACTGCCACTCAATTAAGATGCTTTGTTTAAAATCTCTATTAATAAAAGAATCATTTTCATAGGAAATCTGAAGAAACATATATTGTGATCTTTAAGTCTATAATAAAGACTTGTTCACTACTGAAACAAAAATGGAAGAAATATCAAATCCTTCCATCTAAATATTGTAGAGCAAAAATTTCTATTTTTTGAAGATACAGATAAATTTATTTAGTAAAACAACTGAAAGAGTGGGAAGAAAGATAATCAGACTTTGGTATCAATGAGATGTCAAATGAATGAGTATGATTAAGTGAATGAAGGAACTTAAAAAGACTATTGGTTTGGTTTTCAGCCAGTTTTGGGACCTATTATTTTAGAATCTCAGTAAAATCCTCCGAAGTTCACGTGGTGATAATGTGGATAAGGATATGTATAGTAATCAGGAAAAAACAAGAGAACACAACTGTGAGATGAGCTATGTCAAATTATCACTTAGGAGAGTAACAAGACAAGATTTCCCTAAGGCCCCTGGGTTGGACTCAACCACCAGGGAGGAAACTGACTTTCAAAAGATGGGGAGGTTCTTAACCAAACGTTCCCACTTTAAAGGATGAAATCTCAGTTTCAAACATTGCTATGATTCCCAGCGGCTGCCCAATGCCCCATCCACACTCCGTGCCCCACCGCTGCCCATGTTCCACGAGCTTACTTACCTCATAGGCGTTCTTGATGTTCAAGGGCTCGCCAAGAGCGGCCACGTGTCCCACGATGCCTTTGTTCCACTCTAAGCAGATACAGTTATTCGAAGCTTCTTCCAGTGTTGAACCTCCTGCAACATCAAAGAGGCGGCTGATAAGAAACTTGTCGTTGGAGCTGTCCTCACTGACGAGGAATAAGGAGTAGCGGTTGGCGGAGACGAGTCCATGGATATGCAAGAAAACTTTGTGACATAAGGCTGTGACATCCAAGTGACTAGAAATATCTTTCACTGATTCCAAGAGTCTCGAGCACTGGTCCCCTTCATCAGTATCAAACCGTGGGGAGGTTAGAGGCATCTGTTCCTTCTTGTGTGAGTCAGAGGGGAAGCTCACAGTCCCCTCAGAATCCTTGATAACTATGGGTCTAAGCGGCCAATCAAATTATGGAGGCAGAGATCTTCCTGGTTGGTGTTCCAGGGACACTGCTCTCTGCAACGGTACTTGGCTGCAAGGGGCAAGAGCAGGATTCCATGTGGCCTTTGATTCCTTCCTTGCACACAGGGACGGTGTGAACTCTCTCAGCAAACCATGCATTGACCATTTCTCTGTAGAAAAGAACATGTAGACACATTAAATATTTGAGGAAGATGGGAGTGGATAAATAAGATGTGGTGCATATATACAATGGAATACTACTCAGCCATAAAAAAGGACTGATGCACGGTAACTTGCAGAGACGTGGATGGACTTACTCTCTGTCATACATAATGAAGTAAGTCAGAAAGAGACAGATAGCCTATATTAACACATATATACGGAATCAAGAGAAATGGTACTGATGAGCCTATCTGCAGGGTAGGAACAGAGATGCAGATGTAGAAAGTGGACGGCGGTCATGCAGGGGGGGTGAACAGGAAGACTGGGATCGCGGTATGTGCGCTGCCACGCGTAGGACAGACAGTGGTGGGAACTTACTGTGGAGCACAGGCGATTCAGCTCAGGGCTCTGTGGTGACCTAGACGGGATGGGGGGGGAGGGGTGGCGGGGTGGGATGGGTATGGGGCTAAGAGAGGGAGGTCCGAGAGAGAGGGGACATGTGTATACACATAGCTGACTCTCTTCACCATTGAGCAGAAATTAACACGACAGTATAAAGCTACTACACCTCAATAAAAACAAAACACTGTGGGGTGGGGGGGTGGGTGGCGAGCATGCTCGGTCATGGCTGACTCTTTGCTATCCCAGGGACCGAAGCCTGCCCAGGCTCCTCTGTCCATGGACCTTTCCAGGCAAAGGAGAGGTTGCCATTTTCTACCCCAGAGGATCTCGCCAACCCAGGGATCGAACCAACATCTCTCTTGTCTCCTGCATTGGCAGGCAGGTTCTTTACCACTGTGCCACCTGGGAAGCCTCCCTCCTTAAACACTGCTACCCCTGAAAACTTCTAAAATCCTCTCATGGTTAACTGATGCAGTAACCATTTGTCATAGAAAATGAAAACATGATGGTCTATTTAAGACAGTTTATTTTGAAAAACTGTAGAGGACAATTGTTTCAGTGAACATTTTAATAAAAGATTGACTCCTGTATACATATATTTTCAGATGTCTGATTTATAATGCATCAAGTGTCAAGTCAGTTCCTCTCAAAATCAGTTTGAATTAAAGTAAAAGACACTAAATTTGACAATAGTCTAAGGAAAACACAGGCATGGGAATCTGCTGTTTAAAACACACAACTTATTCTGAAGTTAAATATTCAAAAATTTTTTAAAAATTTATCTGAATTTGGCTAGGTTACATGCTTAATTTTAGACACTTTTTATCTATACCACTATATATAGATTAGATTTAGGAAAGGAAATAGAAAACAGAAACAATTTGATCTAGCATGTAGAAGAAAGATTGTAGACTTCCATTAATAACATCCTAATAATGCATGTCCAATAATCTAGAATAATCTTCTTCTATTTACTCCTTGTACAAAGGAGGAAAACAAAAAAAAAGGCAGTAACTAGTATAAAAAATTTAATCCAAGAAAATTTAAATTATTTATGTTGTTCATGTGCCACTCCATGAAGAAACTTATCTGAGCTAAAGGTTTCATAGTCAGTATTAAAAAAAAAAAGAAAAAAAAAAAAAAAAAAACAACCCACCAAATATACCAGATCATACACATCCGAAAGACTGTTGTTCAGTTCAAGCTTCTTGGGAAGCTGTAATCTGATGCCAATTGATGCCCCCATTACTTTAAACATTCTGGGAACTTTTGAAACTAACTTCTAAAAAAATTCAAAGTCATATAAGAATATGAGTTCACCTAAAAGCTAGATCTTGTTTTTCACTGAGCCTTGCTCTCAAAATAAGCAAAGAAAACCACAAAAAACCTAGAGTAATGGCTAACAATACATATTGTATGCAGACCTGATTTTTTCCCCAAATACAGACCTGATTTTTCTCCAAACTCAAAAATTTATTTTCAAAAGATGATAACTTGCTAGCACTGAGGATACTTAAAAGAACTGGCCTATAAGAGCAATGCAATCTCCATGAGGCAACGGTTTACTGGTCATTTTCATGAAACAGCCAGGATGCAGACACTCTCCAATCCTTCTGGCTGCAGCAGAAATTGATAACACCTCTTCAGAGGGCAAGCAGGCAGTATCTAACAAGTTTTAAAATGCATTTATCCTTTGTTCCAAAGATTTTACACACAGAGCAAAAGAAGTATCAGTGTATTTACTTACTGTTTGTTATAGCAAAGATAAGAGCAAACTAATCCCATAAATAGAAGCCTGGCCATCACGGCACATTTATAAATGAACACTGTGCCTGTGCTAAGGTGCTTCATGTCCGACTCTTTGCAACCCCATGGACTGTAGCCCACCGGGCTCCTCTGTCCTTGGGATTCTCCAGGCAAGAATACCAGAGTGGGCTGCCATGCCCTCCTCCAGGGGATCTTCCCTACCCAGGGATTAAACCCACATCTCTTACATCTCCTGCATTGGCAGGCAGGTTCTTCACCACTAGCGCCATCTGGGAAGCCCAAATGGATCACGAGGCAGATAGTACAAGGTACTGATATGAATAATCACTCCAATCTATTAAGTGAAAAAAGATCCAGGAGGAGAGAAGAGCTAATCATTTTCCTGGGTCTCCACTATGTCTTTCACTTATAAAGTGTTCCCTGAATTATTTTATTTTGAACAATAATCTATTGTTTGGTAAATATATATTACCCTGAATTGACACCAATCTATAATGCAATGGGTAAAAAAAATATATAACATAGATATTATCAGGATTATCTCATAATTCCAAGTGTCAGATACATTTTAAAGCTCTCTTTAACAAGTACTTACTATATTACTCCAGTATATACATAGCACAGAGTTTTGTTTTGTTTTGTATGTAATTGCCTAATATTTTATAAATGCATGCCGTGGCTTGGCACAAAATTTCTAGTGATAAGAATATACCCTGGTAACAGTGTATCTCAAAAACTTCTATAGAAATGAGGGGGACATACCTTGGGAAATGTTTATGTAATGTCCTAAACCACAAAAAAAAAGATTGTGCCAAAGACATTGATGTCAGATATGCATGTGAGAAATGTACAGGAAGCATTTGAATAAAATGTTTTGTAAAACATGAAACAGGAACCCAGCAATATGTTTAAGTCAATCTAGTTTATGTGATTAAAACATATGTACATGTAACTTAAAAACTTCTCAAATCAACATAAAAACAGGTATTTTAACTATGTCAGCTACAAACCTGAAACACAGCCTCAGCCTATTTATCTTCTCACTGAAAAATGGTGATGAACATTTCAATTTTTAATCAAACCACCTCCCTGACAACATCTACACAGACACCTTGAAGCGGTGAAATCACAATTCCTAACACCCCGCCCTTCTTCTTGCTCAAATCTCACTCCCTGTCCACTTTCTTCCTATCACTTACTCAACTGCACATCTAGGAATTACTCTGAATGTTTCCTTCAACTCTCAGATCCAGTCTAGCAACCAAGTCCTGTCTAGTTGACTTCCAAAACCCTATACTCCAATCTGCTCTTTTCTATCTCCTATACTACTTCCCTGGCTCAAGCTGCATCATCTCCCATCTTGGACTATGGCCACAGCCCCTTAATTGGACTCTCTGAGATTATACTAGCCTCCTTCAACCCATTCTCCCTATGGCAGCTAGAGCAACCTTTGAAAAAGTAGGCCTTAACATCTTAACCATCTTACTGGGCTTCTCACTGAACTGAGAGTAAAACCTAAACTCTTCCGACCCCGACCACAGTCCCTCCCTCCCACACAGGCCTCCCTGACCTCCTCAAGCACATCAAGCTTTGACTGCCCCCAGGCTGGAACACTTCTCCTCACCTGCATCTGGCAGGTCACGGCTCCCTCCTCACCTGCACAGACAGGTCTTCCCTGCTCACTTCACCTCTCAAGGGGCCCCAACACATTATGTTCACCGCACCCCCCCCCCCACCCCCACGATCTGAATTCTTGCTGTCACTCTTCAGTCGCCCAGTCCTGTCCAACTCTTTGCAGCCTGACAGACTGCAGCACGCCAGGCCTCCCTGTCCCCCACCATCTCTCAGAGCTTGCCCAAGTTCATGTCCATTGCATCCGTGATGCCATTCAGCCATCTCATCCTCTGATGCCCTTGTCTCCTGCTGCCATCGATCTTTCCCAGCATCAGGAACTTTTCCAATGAGTCGTCTGTTCACATCAGGTAGCCAAACTATTGGTAGCTTCAGCCTCAGCATCAGTCCTTCCAATGAATACTCAAGGCTGATCTCCCTTAAGACTGACTGGTTTGATCTCCTTGCAGTCCAAGGGACTTACAGGAGTCTTCTCCAGCACCACAGTTCGAAGGCATCAATTCTTTGGCATCCTGCCTTTTTTACAGTCCAGCTCTCACAACTGTACACGACCAATGGTGAAGACCATAGCCTTGACTATACAGACCTTTGTTGGCAGGGTGGTGTCTCTGCTTTTCAACACACTGTCTAGGTTTGTCATCACTTTTCTGACAAGAAGCCACTGTCTTCTGATTTCACGGCTGTAGTCACCATCCACGGTGATGCTGGAGCCCACGAGGAGGAAATCTGTCACTACTTCCAACTTTCCCCCTTCTATTTGCCATAAAGTAACGGGACCAGGTGCCATGATCTTAGTGTTGTGTTTTTTTTTTTTTTTTTTAATATTTCGTCTTAAACCTGCTCTTTCACTCTCCTCCTTCACCCTCATCAAGAGGCTCTTTATTTCCTCTTCACTTTCTGCCATTAGAGTGGTAATGAATTCTTACTATCATCTATTTTTCTTGCTTAATAACCTGTTG